TGACTATTAACTTTTTACTCTAATTGCTCTATCCATCTATTCATCCCTCTATCAATCTATTAATCCATCTTATTCTTGATGCATTTTAAAATAAATTGAAGACATCAGTATATTTCTCCCTAACTACTTTAGCATGTGTACCAATAACGAGTTCAATACAGTTTTTAAAATTTAAAATTTACATACAATGAAATGTGCAAATCTTAAGTGTATATTCACTGAGTTTTGACACATATGCATGGGTAGCTCAAACCACTGTGATGATATAGAATATTACCATCACTCCAGAAAGTTCCCTCATTCTCTTTTCCAAATAATTCCTACCCTCACCTTCTCCAGAAACAATCACTGTTCGAATTTTTCTTTACCATGGATTAGTTCTGCTTGTTCTAGAATTTCATATAAATGGAATCATACAGTATATACTCTCATGTGTTAGATGTCTTTCACTAGCACAATTATTTTTTGAGATTTATCTGTGTTGTTGCAGGTATATTTCTTTTCTTTGATTTTTTATTTATAAATACAGAACAATTTAAAAATCTTCTATTAATGTACATCTGGGCGATTTCCAATTTGGGGCTATTGTGAAAAAAGCTGTAATGAACAATTTCATTCAAGTCTTTGTGGGACATGTGTTTTCATTTCTCTTGGGTAAATAAATGCCTAGGAGTGGAATTTCTGGGTCGTATAGTAGGTTTATATTAAAGTCTTACAATGCCAGACTATTTTCCAAAGTGGTTATACCATTTTAAATTTCTACCAATAAAGTAAGAAAGTTTAAGTTACCCCACAACCTTGTTAGTATATGGTTTTGTCATTCCTTTAAATTTTAGTCATTCTAGTGTATATGTAGAAAATGATACATTGTTGTAATTTCAATTTTCATTTTCCTGTTGACTAATGATGTTGAGCACTTTTTTACATATACTTATTGTCTATTCAAGTATCTTCACTTTTATGAAACATCTTTTCAAACCTTTTGTATATTTTTCAATTGGATTGTCTTTTTATTGTTAATTGTGGTATTTCTTTACATTCTAGATTAGTGCTAATAGAATTTTCTACATCCAATATGTTTAGTGTAAAACATGGCGAGTGCAAATGAAGTGTATTTTTAATTGATTTAATTTTAATTGAAATAGCTACACTGGCTAATGGCTACCATATTGCATAGTGCAATTCTAGATACCAGTCCTAATCAGACATGTTTTGTGAATATTTTCTTCTAGTCTGTGGCTTGCCTATTTATTTTCTTAATGGTATCTTTTGATGAACATTAAGTTTTAAATTTTAACTTCATTTAAATTTTTTTTCTTTAATTGTTAGTGTTCTATGACCCATCTAAGAAACTTTTGATTACCCCTAAGTCGCAATATTTATGTTTGTGTTTATGATCCATCTTGATAGTGTGGGGTGAGAGTCAGAGTTATTTGGGTACCACTGTTGAAAAGACTTTTGGCACCTTTTTGACAAACAAAAACTGTATGAGTGTGTATCTACTTCTGTCCTATTTTCTTTCATTGATCTATTTGTTGAGCCTCATGCCTTTACTACACTGTTTTGATTACTGTAGTTTTATTGCAAGTCTTAAAGTAAGGAGCATAGTCCTCCTATTTTGTTCTTTTCCAGGTATTGGAAATTGTTTTGGGTATTTTAGTTCCTTTGAATATCCATACAAATTTTTAGAGTCAGCTTGTTAATTATGGGATTATGACTGGGATTTTGTTAAATCTGTAGATCTTAGATATAATGAAAGAAATGTTTAATATTTTAAATTTGAGGTTTAAGGAATGGGTGTCTAGGTTGACATATATATGTTTTTTGAGTCTAAGTAGGATTTTATTTTCATGGACACTCAACTGAGTTAAGGTACTTCCTAGAATCTATTTGGCTTCCCTGGAGCTACTTGGTTTTGGGTTTCTTGTCTCTAGTTTCACGCTTGAGACTCTCAGGGGGCTGGCGATAGGCAGGAAAAACCTCCCATGGGCACTTCAGGTTAAACTTGTAAAACTCTTGGGCCAACTCCATCCACTTGGTTACCACTTGCTTCACCTCATGGTCACAGTGTAACTCAGTGTAGTCAGACTGGGGAAGTCTTTCCAGAAGGGATACCCCACAAATCCATAGTCTGTCAGGATCCTTCTTAAGTCAGGGTGGTTAGCAAAGAAGACTCCAAACATGTCCCATATCTCTCTCTTATATCAGTTGGCTGTCTTGTGCACAGGAACAGTAGACTTATTTTCAATAAATGTAATTCATGCCATCACATCTTTGGCCAAGGGTGATATATTTTAGTACTTTGTCAAGAAGAAAAACAGGGTCTGATCAGTCTTCTATGATCTAGGCCAAAAGAGAGCCCATAAGAGTCTGTCTTTCTTCCATTCTGTATTGTTTACTCAGAAGAAACTTTGCACAATAATTTTTTGGCAGAACCTGAGGTCAGAGTTGCAAACTCTCTGGAGCACATAAGATCAAGAATCTAAGTTACAAAAAACCAATAAAAACATATCCAAAATGAACTAATGATGCTAAGTGTGAAAAATCCACATATGATTCTTTGATTTATGTTCTATTTAAGGCAACAAATGTGCTTTTTCTGCTGCAAGCATCTCTAAACTATTTTGCCTTGATTTTTCTCAAAATTATTTTAAGAAAAGTGAAGCTACACAACTTTGTTCTCTTTAACTCTTATTTTAATTCAATATCAGCTTGGAAGATAAATCTTCAGATTATTTAGTTTAATCTCTAATGTTGTATATGAAGAAATAGAGAGTTAAATGATTTGTCCAAAATCATATAGCTAGTGAGTAGGAATGTTCTGACAATATTCCAGGCTTTCCAACCTGTCTCTCTACTGATATTTCCTACTCTTCTATGCTCTTCTGTCATAATAGCAAACCAGTCAGTAACTTTTGAGCCCCTCTAATGTGCTTGGACTGGACTATGTATAGATGATATAAATTATTATTATGATATAGATCTGGTCCTCAAATATGACAGAGTCCTGTGTAAGAGAAGACACAATTAGAAAACAGTAAAAGGCAATATAATAAGGTTTCACGTTGGATAGAATTTAGGATAAAGTGCTATGAATGTATATAGAAGTAATACTGTGCCTCATTTTAAATAAACCTGGCTGCATTGTGGCAATATTGAACTGTAACTGAAAACAGGTTTTATAAGAGAGACTTGAAACAGGCTAGCTTTGCTAACTTAAATGTATAAAATGAAAGCAATCAAAATGTACCTTAAATTAATGCTCTGTTAAATAAAATGTTAATAATTGTTAAAAAAGGTAAAGATTAATACTTGATGAAATTATAGAAGAAGGCTTTATAAAAGAAGTAGAGGTTGAGATAGAATTTCAAGAATTATGAAGGGCAAAGGGTTTATAAACTATTATAATTGGGACACAAACAATATTTTAATCAAAATTTGAATATCATATACATTAGAATGTGATTTCAAAGCAGTTCAAGAGGCCATTAAATATGTTTACGGGTCTCTGAAATGAATTACTTTTAACTAAAGCTAATGAAGCCCGAATTTACATGAGAAGCTTGGAGGTGGAAATGTCTACTGAATTAAGTAGTCAAGCAGAAATCTAGATTTCTTCCCTCAAAGGTGGTGCTTTACCCTGATAGCTGGTCCAAATAGAATATTGTTTTCTCAACAATATCCTTATAAAGGCAATGAGAGACCGGTATTTCCATTTTGCTTTCAATAATTTGCCCTAAAACAAATAAACTAACATCTCTGACTCCTCATTTCCTGATCTAGAAATGAGATTAATAATAACTTGCCTGCCTACCTCATGGCAGTTGTGAAACTTCAACAAGACAATGTGTATCGAAATGCTTTGAAAATCTTTCAGATATAAGATTCAGTATATAATAAGAATTGTATAGATTATGGTTCAATACAGATTCAATGAAGTTTTTTTAGGGATAAATTCTACAGAGTTGTCTGAAACATTGACTTGGATTGTCTCCAGATTCTAATAGGCATTATTATGTTCCTGAGGTGTAGGTAACTCTATGGTATATGTGTAGTATAATTAATTGAATTTTTCATATATACTGAATAATATTTCATCAATTGGGCTGATTTACAATTACAGCAGTTAGCTGTTGTTTAGAGCAGGGGTTCCCAACCCCCAGGCTGCGGACTGGTACCCATCCTGGCCTGTTAGGACTGGGCTGCACAGCAGGAGGTAAGTGGTGGTTGAGCCAGAGAAGCTTCATCTGTATTTCTAGCCACTCCCCAGAGCTAGCATCACCGTCTCAGTCCCATCTCAGATCATCAGCCATTAGATTCTCATAGGAGCAAGGGTCCTATGATGCCAAAAAGGTTAGGACCACTGATTTAGAGTGTCATTGGAAAGTTCTTGTTTGTATTACTTATTTATACATTAAGTACAAAAGATTGCTTTCTTCATACTTCTATCCAGATTAATTACATTCTTGAAGAATGATGACGAACTGCTAATGCAGACAGAGAATGGAACTGCAAATCTAGTTTCTTACACAACTGAAGAGAAGACTATTTGATCATTGAGAAAAGAGCAGAATAGTATAACTGTAAACTATCTAATTTTTTTTCCACTAAGAAGTGAGTTCAATTGTTATGAAGAAAAACAGACTTTGGTTTGTAAAACAGAGTTTTCAATTCACTGCCTCCATGTCTTTATTCTCTCTGGTACCTAATATTATATATTATTTTATAGGGTTTGATAATTAATGTTATAAAAATTAATGAATTATTAGTATTCAGATAACATAAATAATGCTTGACAAAGGTTCAGATCACACAAAGGATTTAACTTCTTACAAAATATACATATTTTTTCATATGGCAAAACGATTGTTAATATATGTCAATTATTTCAGTTGAAAAAAAGAATTGCCTACAAGAAACTATACCTTGACTATATCTTCATTAAAACTGGTTACTGAATATTTGTTATCTGTAATATAGACAATCAATTACCACAAACATGGCTGCTTAAAACAACATGTTTATTATCTCACTGTTTCTGTGGGTCAGGAATCTGTGCACAACTTAATTGAGTCTTTGGCTTCATGGTCTCTCACAAGGCTACAATCAAGGGGTCAGCCATGGTTGGAGTATCATTTGAAAGCTCAACTGGAAAAGATCCCCTTCCAGGCTCATGTGGTTGTTAGCAGAATTCAGTTCCTTGCAGGCTGTTGGAGTGAGGGCCTCAGTTCTTTGCTTGCTACATGGCCTTTTACATAGGCAGTTCACAGCATGACAGTTCACTTCGTCGAATAAAACTCCATCAGGTAATTAAAAGAGCTCTCTGTATTCCTAACCAAGTCAAAACACCAGCTTTTCCTAGAAAGCCAAAAGTTACAATTTTATGTAATGTAATCACAGAATTGACATCCTATCACCTTTGTTGTATTCAATTGCTTAGAGGCAAGTTACAGATCCTGCTCACACTCAAGGGGAAGGGATTACATAGGGTGTGAATACCAAGAGACAAGGGTCATTTTGGGCCATCTTAGAGTCTGTTAGAAAAGAACTGATTAATTTGACATGACATAAGCTACAAAGAAATGCCCATTTAGATGCTCATTAAGAAACTGTATTCAATTAGCTGAATAATCCAGAAGGAATTGGTGGGAATAGCTTAATAGAATTTCCTGTTAGCTATATAGTATCACAAACTAATAAATATAAATTACTAAGCACATTATTTTCTTCTTCCACTGTTCTGTTCTTTCTCCAGTGTTTTCAGCTATGAAATACTGACACACACACACACGTAAATACACATGCATACAAACATATATGTGTATATATATATACATACACACACACACACATATATATATATATACACGCATATACATTTTGTCAGCAAATGGTGTTGATTTGGTTTAGTGGTAACTGATACTTATTAAAAATGTCATTCTCAATGTACGTTGCCAGCATATTCCCCCACAAAAATAGCTTTGGTTAAATAAAACAGTATTTCTTGCACATGATTAGAAATTCATAAAAGAGGGGGGTGGTTCCATAGAGTAATGGTTAGCACATCTGCTTTACACACAGAAAGTCCTAGGTTCGAGCCCCAGTGGAGCCATGGTCCATACCCCAGGTGTGCCAGGGCCCGGGTGCATGCCAGGAGCGCATGGGAGGAGACAGCAACATCCATAGGACAGGGGTGGAAGTGTGTGTGTGGGGGATGGAAATAAAAAAAAAATAATTCATAAAAGAGGTTTAGTGTGGCATTAATTGTAATAGGTCATTGACTTTGAGTAATTGACAAAACTCCATCAGGTAATTAAAAGAGCTCTTTGTATTCCTAACCAAGTCAAAACACCAGCTATTAAATTACTTAGGACAATTAAGCCCCAAATGAACATTTTCTGTGCAAAAACATTTTTTATCTGTTTTGAAGACTAGAAAAGACTGGAAAAGCTTAAAATGGGAGAGATCAGTAATTATCACTTTAATAGTGTTTGGATTGTTGAATAATGATTAGTGAATGACCTCTAAAAAAATTGAGGGTAAGTTCATTACCCTGAATCGTGGGTGGTCAGGAAAATCCTATTTTATTTTTATTTTTAAGCTGCAGAAGAAGATGACATGGAAAATGGACCCTAATACTGCCTGTGAGGTTGGTTGGTATGAAATAGAGCACTGCAAGCAGCTTAAGAGCTGTGCGGAAGGCTGAACTCAAAGACAAACTTCATACTTTTAAGTCTGCCAGTTTATCCTACAGCAAATTGATTTTATAATCCTTAATGTTGGTATTTCTCCTCTATTGCTCTAAATCAGAATATAGATGCATTTTGAGAGATTACAGTGATTTGGTAGTTCTTCACTTTTATAAATGAATTGAATAAACTTTGTATGTGAAATATTTATGCCACATCATGTATACTATCTATATGTATGGTTAATACATCCTAAATAAAAAAAGTTTAATTTTTTATTTGGTACCAGAACACTTAACAAGCAAAGATATTATATAAGCCACATGATTATAGAGGACATCCTCACATTTTGGTAGCAGCATAAAACAGACAAAAATCTACATTATCTTCTTTTCTCTGAAGAAAATTGAACTTGACAGTAGCTGAAGTGAAGGTTTGATATCTCAATAGGGCTCCGCATTGTCATTGCCCTTGGTATGTTCTCCAAAGCACATGGGAAAATTCTCTTCTGAATACAGAATGAAGTAGGTTTTAGCAAAGTCTGATAGAAACTTATGTCTTCTAACCTCTAGCATAGAAGTGAAGAGTAGGAAGAACTTGGCTGAAAGGGTACTTGAAGAAAATGAAATAAAAAGGCAAAATCATGAAAATATTAAATCCTGGTGTATAGTAAGTATTTGCCTTGGGTGACAAATACTTTTTCTAAATGCTGATTGTGTGTCTTCTGTTTCAGGACAGGATCTTCTTTGAAGCTTTAAACATTACATAGAAACTGTATTCAGCTACAGTGTGAGCACTGTGACCTTTGTCCAAGGATTCAGTTCAATTTTATAAATCAGAAATTCAAATGTCAAATCACCCATGATTTATCCAGCTTTGGGTATTGGCATTTAGAAACCCATCCTGTCTCATTCTAGAGGTGAGTTTTTAGTCATTTGGAGGTATGTTCTCAGAAGCCTATTTTGTCTAAGAATATACATTTGCTTTAATTTTAAAAACAAGAAATGAAGCTTTGACAGGACTAGTTTATGAGAGCTTAGGTACAGAAAGTCCATCAAAGTCTTTGATATGGGAAAATCCACAAAATTCCTAGACTAGGTTTCCTACAGAGACTGGCTCATTGGGAAGCTATTCACTAGGCAGAATTACTCTATATTTTAATGTGAAAATTTGTATTAGATGTAGTTAAGAGACAGTTTCATGCTTAGACATGAGCAGAAATGCTTTGAAACAAATCACACCATGGGGCAAAGTAGGGTCAATTAAGAGGGTTGTCATTTAGACAAGTTCATAAATGGGGTGAAGTTTTCATTTTAGTGATCCCTTTGGACAGGATGAGTGGTTTAGCTGGGGACAATAACCTTAAACTGAAGGCACTGGCACAAGTTTCTGAGCTTTATTTAGTATATTCTACAGTTACAGGAAACTGTCCATAACACTCTATTTTCCTTAATGAGTTGAGCAAAGGAGCCAAGCATGTTCTCAGCTGACACTGAGACTTAAGGACAGAAAACGAGGCAGGCCCCTACTGTGTGTGGGAATCTGAACTTTTAGCAAGTGCTTGAAACATCATTTTGTTTTCATTTTTGTTTTTGTTTTTGAAGGGGCGAGTAATCAAATACTTCCTTTCTAGAAAATACAAGATATTACTATATACATAGTTAGAAGATATTCAAAAGAATCCTCTTTGTTTTGATAAGTATTTATTTATAAATTTCTCAGGTGGTAGAAACTTAATCTTGTTAAATACAGATTCCACCAGGATTACACCTATGTAGTATCCAGATGTCCACATGACTTTAATCCTCAGTCTTTATCTATCCATACCAGCAACCATTAGGATGTCATGTACTTAAACATGCAGATTGTTGCCAAATATTCCCCTATTCTTGACATAAAGTTCTCTTATGGATCGGCTTGCACTTAGCTGCTCATGTGGCTTCTTGCAGGGGACAAATTCTGAGGCTGTCTCAGACTGTCTCTGCATAAACACAACACTCAGCCATTTTTATTCTGTGGTGTTCTCTCTACATTGAGTTCTATTTGGGAACTGGGGCATTGATTCTCTGATTTGGGTTCCATTGTTCACCCTTCACCCTGGGGCTCAATTTTGAGTGAATGGGGAAGAGATAGTCATAGTGTATGGGGTTCCTTCTTAGGTGTTGTAACAGGCATAGATTATTTTAACTTCAAAATAAAGAAATCCTAACCAAGATATCTGGAGACGCAAGCCAGGACTGGCATAGAAGCTTAACTTTATAATCAAGTATTTATCTTCCTGTCGTACTTCTACTACATTACCCTTAGCTGTTGGTTTTTGTCATTGTGTTTGTCACCATTGTGCTTGTCATGTTCACGAGATGACCGCTTCATCTCCAGGTGTCATATCCATGGTCAAGATGGGAAAAAGGAGTTCCACTCTATCAGAAAAGCAAATGCTTTCTCAGAAGCCCACCAGAAAATCTTCCCTGTACCACATTGTGCAGAACTAAGTCATACATGCCCAGAACTATGTACAGAATTAGCAAGTAAGATTAGGAAAGTGAGTATATGAATTTCTAGCCTCTATCCATTTCCAATAACTTCTCCACTGCTTTACTCTCCTCTAAAGGTTAGATATATGTAAATGCTTTATTTCTTAGCTTCTCTTGCTTGTAAGTATAGGCATGTGACCTGGTTCTAGTCAATCTGGTATGTGTGTGGTTTCCCTTCCCAAATAAAAAAGGCAAAGACTCATTAGGGAATGTTTTCATCTTTGTCATTCCTCTTTCTGTGTGGAACATAATCTTGATGCCTGAAGGTACAGCCACCATCTTGTGACTGAGGGGACAAAGATGACACCAAGATGAGGGAACAATAACAATGAATTTGGCATATAACAACATAGTGGATTCACTTAATCAGACCTGTAGAGTCTACCTGTGAACTTTTCATATTAGACTAATATAGGCCTACTTGTTTAAGACAATGGTAAAGTTTTCTGCTATTTGCAGCCTAATGTAATCCTAACTTATATAGGTAAGAAATCATGTATTTATATCATCATGTAGTTCTTCCAAGTCTATTGTCTTTGCCAGAGCTGTTGCCTTTCTTTTAAAAGGTCCCAAATTTCAAAATTCAAAAGCAAGGAAACAATCTCTTTTCTTTAACATTCTGTTGTGTCTTAAAATGATACCACAATATTTTGTCCAAATGAAGAAGGGCTATATGAGGTACAAGGAATTATTGGGAAATCTTTGATAAATATTACAAAATATATCTCATCACAGTTATAAGTACACAGAAACCCACCCAAATTAAGCCAAGGTAGAAAGAGAATCTGTTGGGTGGATGTAAGTATATCTTTTGGAACTAAGGATAGGAAGTATAGCTGAACTTCACTATGGAGTAGAGCCAGGAACTGGAGAGCTATTATGAACTAGGGCAATTGTTCTCCCTTCCCTCTCTGGGCATATGATCGTGTACAGTCTGCTTTATTCTTTTTTCTTTGCATTGAGTTTTTCTGCTTCTGTGTCCACTAAGCAGAACACAGTTTCTTGAGCCTTATCAGTTCAAATGCAAACTAAGATTAAGAAATATCTCTTACTTTTAAATTCTGTGGAGAAAGAATCTATTTGGTCCAATTTTGATTGTGTCAATCTTTAATCCAATTAGTGACCATGGGAGTGG